TTTCGTAGTGAGGATTTTCGTGTGCAAGTTCGGTTATCCCCTAGGATTTTCCAGGTGTAAAATCAGTACTCTCCCCCTGCGTTCAGGGAATACAGGTTTAGAAACCTAAAAGCGCCCCCCATAATGAGGGTTTATCTCCTTTTATGCCGCCGTAAAAGTTTCTGTACATTTTCTAGGTCGGCAATTTCACCCCCTTTGAAAGGTGCTTTTTAAGTGCAGCAATTTTCCCAGCCTAGATAAACAAGGGCCCGAAGAGGTCTCAGGGGCTTGGCCCCCTATTTTGAAGGGTTCTCATTATCCACCCTGTCATTTTTCCTAGCAAGCGATTGATACAATGTTTTGGTCCTTGAAGGTGAGTCCTCCGACATAATCACTCCCAGTCTTTGACTTTGGTGTTTCGCTTATTTTTGGCCAAATTTGTTTTGTACTCTGATAAGTTTTAATTTCCTATTTTTTACCATTTTGAGTAATTGAAATTTCATCGTTGAACTTCATATTGTTTTCTGCAGCCCACTGAAAGATTTGGTTGATGTCCGCCTGGAGCCTTGCAGTGTCGCAATGGAAGACACGTCATGATTTTACATACCCTTCTTATAGCTCTGGGACCTGCCTCCACGCATCATCACCGATTGTTCCATTCCTGGAAACTCTGTGACTGAAGTAATACTTCCTAACATCCCTGTGACTCATCTGAGTTTTCAACTTTCTGTGTGTGTGTGTGTGTATCGTAAGGGTTCTTAAAAAGGAGATATCGAGGGTTGAAGATAGACACACTTGTTGGATGGTAACGCTATATTGTCAGACTGTGGCAATGGGAGATGGAGCCCAGCCTCTGCCTTGTCCTAGCCTATGTCAAACGCCGACTGAGGCCGAGGTAGCTAGCTCGCCTCACACTCAAGCTGTATCCCGTGACGTCACACAAACAGTCACAGGCCTAAAAGGGATCTCCTGTATAAACACATGGATGATCCTATAATGCTCAGCTAATCTATACAACACATGTAAGGGGATTCAGCAACTATGCTGACATGTGTGTGTGTGTGTGTGTACTCACCTAATTGTGGTTGCAGGGGTCGAGACTCAGCTCCTGGCCCCGCCTCTTCACTGATCGCTACTGGGTCCTCTCTCTCTCTGCTTCCTGAGCTTTGTCATACCTCTTCTTAAAACTATGTATGGTTCCTGCCTCCACTACTTCACTTGCTAGGCTATTCCACTTGCTGACAACTCTATGACTGAAAAAATACTTCCTAACGTCCCTGTGACTCGTCTGAGTCTTCAGCTTCCAGTTGTGACCCCTTGTCCCTGTGTCCCCTCTCTGGAACATCCTATCTCTGCCCCACCTTGTCTATTCCCCGCAGTATCTTGTATGTCGTTATCATGTCTCCCCTGACCCTTCTGTCCTCCAGTGTCGTAAAGTCCGATTCCCTTAACCTTTCCTCGTACGACATTCCCTTGAGTTTGGGACTAGTGTGTGTGTGGTGTGTGTGTGTGTGTGTGTGTGTGTGTGTATGTGTGGTGTGTACTCACCTATTTGTGGTTGCAGGGTCGAGTCTAGCTCCGGGCCCCCGCCTCTTCACCGGTTGCTACTGGGCCCTCTCTCTCCCCCGCTCCATGAGCTTTATCAAACCTCGTCTTAAAACTGTGTTGGTTCCTGCCCCCAAACTACGTCATTTTCTAGGCTTTCCACTCCCCTTACAACTCTATGACTGAAGAAATACTTCCTACTATCTCTCTGACTCATTTGTGTCTTCAACTTCCAAATTTTGTGGCCTCTTGTTTCTGTGTCCCCTCCCTGGAACATCCTGTCTTTGTCCACCTTGTCTATTCCACGCAGTATTTTATATGTCGTTATCATGTCTCCCCGACCCTCCTGTCCTCCAGTGTGGTCAGGCCGATTTCCCTTAATCTTTCTTCATAGGACTTTCCCCCTTAGCTCTGGAACTAACCTTGTCGCAAACCTTTGTACTTTCTCTAGTTTCTTGACGTGCTTTATCAAGTGCGGGTTCCAAACAGGTGCTGCATACTCCAGTAGGGGCCTGACATACAGGGTGTACAGTGTCTTGAATGATTCCTTACTAAGGTATCGGAATGCTGTTCTCAGGTTTGCCAGGCCCCCCATATGCTGCAGCAGTTATCTGATTGATGTGGGGCTTCCGGAGACATGCTCGGTGTTATACTCACCCCAAGATCTTTCTCCTTGAGTGGGGTTTTTGCAGTCTTTGGCCACCTAGCCTATACTCTGTCTGTGGTCTTCTGTGCCCCTCCCCCATTTTCATGACTTTGGGCATTTGGCAGGATTAAATTCGAGAAGCCATTTGCTGGACCAGGTGTCCAGTCTGTCCAGGTCTCTTTGAAGTCCTGCCTGGTCCTCATCAGATTTAATTCTCCTCATTAACTTCACATCATCTGCAAACAGGGACACTTCTGAGTCTAACCCTTCCGTCATGTCGTTCACATATACCAAAAATAGCACTGGTCCTAGGACCGACCCCTTTGGGACCCCGCTCGTCACAGGTGTGTGTGTGTGTGTGTGTGTGTGTGTGTGTGTGTGTGTGTGTGTGTGTGTGTGTGTGTGTGTGTGTGTGTGTGTGTGTGTGTGTGGTGTTTTACTGCTTCACACGGCAACCCTAATTATGTATAACAATATAAGAAAGAAAAAACACTACAGCAGGACTACTGACCCATACTAGGAAGGTTCAAGTCATACCCAGTTAAAAATGAAGGAGCACTGTTGCAGACCTACTGACCCAACAAGCAGGTCCATCTTACACTTACACCCACTCATGTACTTGTCTAACCTAATTTTAAAACTACACAAGGTTTTAGCTTCAATGACTACTCTGGTGGCTTGGGCATTGGCCTGGTAGCTTGGTCACTGTTCTGGTAGCCTGGTCACTGCTCTGGTGATCTGGACACTGCCCTAGTGGCCTGGTCACTGCTCTGGTAGCTTGGTCACTGCTCTGGTGGCCTGGTCACTGCCCTGGTGGCCTGGGCACTGCTCTGACCCATACTGCTCTGGTAGCTGGTCACTGCTCTGGTGGGCTGGTCATTGCTCTTGTGGCTTTGTGCACTGCTCTGGTAGCCTGGGCACTTCTCTGGTAGCCTGGTTACTGCTCTGATGGCCTGGGCACTGCTCTGGTAGCTTGGTCACTGGTCTGGTGGCCTAGGCACTGCCTTGGTAGCCTAGGTACTGCCTCGGTGGCCTAGTTACTGCTCTGATGACCTAGGGACTGGCTTGGCCTGGGCACTGCCCTGGTGGCCTGGGCAGTGCCATACAGGTGCCAGCCTCAGCATGACGTCCAGTTAGGTACAATTGAGAGCTTCCTCCTTGCACCTAACTCTTTATATTACCCTTTCCTCTCTATGTGTCCTTATGTGTCCTCTTACTCCCATGTGTCCTATCCCCTTTGTGTCTTCGTCCATGCGTGTCCTCGCTCCTATATTATTTGCCCCTGTGTTCTTTCACCCCATGTGTCCTCTCACCCCATGTGTCCTCTCACCCCATGTGTCCTCTCACCCCATGTGTCCTCACCCCATGTGTCCTCGCCCCATGTGTCCTCACCCTTACGTCTCATCTCCTTTATGTTATCGGATCTGTGTCCTCACCCTTATGTGCGCTTGCACTTATGTCCTCCCTCACGTGTCTTCTCCCTTATGTGTCCTCTCCCTCATGTGTGCTCTCCCTCACGTGTCCCCCCCCTCTTCATTCTTCTCATATGTCTTCTCTCTCACGTGTCCTCTTGTGTATTCTAGTGTGTCCTCTCTTGTGTGGTGGTAGTGTAGTGGTGATGGTGGTGGTGTGGTGGTGGAGGGGTGGTGGTGGTGTGGTGGTGGAGGGGTGGCGGTGGTGTGGTCGTAGTGGTGTGGTGGTGGAGAGGTGGTGGTGTGGTAGTGGTGTGGTGGTGGAGGTGTGGTGGTAAGATAAGATAAGATAAGATAAGATTTCGTTCGGATTTTTAACCCCGGAGGGTTAGCCACCCAGGATAACCCAAGAAAGTCAGTGCGTCATCGAGGACTGTCTAACTTATTTCCATTGGGGTCCTTAATCTTGTCCCCCAGGATGCGACCCACACCAGTCGACTAACACCCAGGTACCTATTTGCTGCTAGGTGAACAGGACAATAGGTGTAAGGAAACGTGTCGGAATTTTCACCCGCCGGGAATCGAACCCGGGCCCTCCGTGTGTGAAGCGGGAGCTTTAGCTACCAGACAACCAGGTGTGGTGGTGAAGTGGTGGTAGTGGTGGTGTGGTAGTGGAGGTGGTAGTGTGGAGGTGTGGTGGTGAAGGTGTGGTGGTGAAGGTGTGGTGGTGGAGGTGTGGTGGTGAAGGGTTTGGGGGTGAAGGTGTGGTGGGGAGGTGTGGTGGTGGTGTGGGTTGGTGGTGTGGTATGGTTGTGGTGGTGGTGGTGGTGTGGTGGTGGAGGTGGGGGTGGTGGGTGGGTGGGTGGTGGGGGGTGGGTGGTGGTGGAGGTGTGGTGGTGGTGATGTGGTGGTGGTGGAGGTGTGGTGGTGGTGTGGTGGTGGAGGTGTGGTGGTGGTGTGGGGTAGTACATGGCTTGCAGCACTCACTCTGCCTCCTTTCTTTTCTCCCAATATTTTGCTAGTCTCTTCATATTTTACTGTCAACACGTCTCTCTAAATTCTGTACCATTCCTGATAACATTACAGTGCATAACAACCACTGAACGCGTTAAATAAAATCTCATAAAATTTAAAATATATTTTATTAAGCTCATGAAAGTCTGCTAATCTGTCATGACCCGTATTGTGAAAAATGGCAACTCGGTGAAATACTTCTAAGTTATTTGCAACATTCAATCAAGATTATGACAATCATTCAGACGTGTTTGTTAGCATTCGTTGTATGTTGAGGTCTACATAGTTTGGGGAATGAAGAGTTAGGAGTGAGTGAGCTAGAGGATAGGAAAGTTTGTTGATGGAGGTGAGGGATGGATGGGGGTGCTGGCGGTGGGTCAGCTGGTCCCGCCCCAGTTAGTTGTCTTTCTGCTGTGGCAGCCGCTGGGAGTATTGGTCTCGGGGGTCGTGGTGATAATCATGGTGAGGCTACAAGTGACCAAGAGATAGTGCTCAACGCTGAGTGCAGTCCTGCTGGTGGTGAGGCGAGAGATGACCAGGTGTTGGTACTCAATGTTGAGTAGTCCTGCTGTCGAAAGCGTTGACCAGGTCCAGGAGTTAGTACTCAACACCAAGTATACTCCTGCTTAAAGTGCTGACTAGGTCCAGGAGTTAGTACTCAACGCTGAGTGTATTCCTGCTTTAAGTGCCGACTAGGTCCAGGAGTTAATACTCAACTAAATATATTCCAGCAGAGTAGTGGTAGTGCCGTGGTAGGTTAAGTCAGTGTTGCACTTGACTATTATTGCCTCTCCAGTGTGTAAAATTTCTTTAAAGAAACTAGGCGGAAGCTCTTTCCAAAACCGTAATAGTAATAAATTATCAATAATGCAACGAAAATATGTTCAATTATCGTATTTTATATTCCAAATGTTGAAAAACATGAAATACAAAATAAAAAAAGGAAAAAA